ATAACTGAGGTCAGTGGCCTTCTGGTGAAGCTAATCAGCCTGATCCTGCTTTTGCTTCTTCATCTGTAAAATGGGGATACTTTTTCCTGGACATTCTGAAGCAGAACCATCAAGTATTTCATATAGAGTGAGAGGTCCTTTTATATATTAAGTGATTTTTTTTCTACTGTCAACACTGCTATTTTTGGTCAGACAAAAAAGACAACAAAACAGAAACAAATACACAAATAATAAAAATAAAAACAGAAAATGTTCCTAGGTACCCTTTCTTGCCTTCCAAAACTGTTAAGATACCTGACAGCAAACTCATAAAACGCTATCCACAGACTGCTGCGCATCTTGCCTGCAACAGTGCTCCGTCTATCAGAACTAGGCACTGCACCAGCCATCGATCCACAGCCCAGTTTACTGAGGCCCGGGACCAGGACAAAACTCCTCTGCAACTGGCAAACATCTGCTCCAAAGCCATGTCTGCATTGCAGCTCCTGCATCCCGCCGGAGCGGCCGGGAGCCCTGCACGCGCAGCGCGGAGCGGCCGGGCTCTGGCGGCCTCCTGCGGCACCGCGCAGCAGGACAAGGTCTCACGCGCTCAGGGGCTGCTTTGCAGCTCTGAGTAGGGTTACACTTGACCTTAAAACCTAGAGCTTAACGGAACCTAACAGAAATACAGCAGGCAAGCTGGAATTTTAATCTGCTAGGATTAAAGGAAATATTAACCTGCTTATCACGGAAAACGACCCTAAGGATCAGAGTGCCACGGTTGCAAAAGTCTGTTTAGAGAAGGGCAGTACAAAACTATAGAAACTCTTACAAATACAGGATCTGCCAACATGAACAGACTCAAAATACAGTTAGTTGTTGGCCCCAGTTTAGGAGCAGATGCTGCAGGTACTTGCTGTCAACAGTCCAAGGCTTTTTATATTCCATAATTCATTGATCACAGTTTTTTTGCACAAGTCTACTACAAAAATAGGGAGAAGGTTTACTGAGTGCAGGAGACAATCCGAACAGTGGCTTTTAAGGCATAATAAAAAGGATTTCAGACAATGTAAATGATCACAGTAAGGCTATTCTAAATATATATATATATAAGTTATTGCATATTTATTACTTTAAAAGACAACAAATAGAAAATGATGAATCTTAACTAACTAAAAAAATCCACACAGATCAAACTCTTACAATGCTTCAATCCTGGGCCAGTTCCTGCAGTGCAGTTATCTTATACACACATTTTCAAAGGGTTTTCATTCCCCCACTCAGTTTGGGTGGGAGCTGCATGTGCAGACACGATACCCTCCTGCTCTGCGAGCTGCTACATTCTGCTAATGAGCTGGATCACAGGGCAGAGCAGATGTCCAGAACCAAGCTACATAAGATGATTGTCAGGGTTCTCAAAGCCCAGCTATAATAGTATTTTATAAATGTTATAGTGCTGACATAACTGGGCCACCAATCATTACATTAGAGAAAAAAAACAATACAAACACACAAAAAAAGAGTGTACAGCCCAAAAGCTGCTGTTTTTCTAGGCATGTATTACCATGCTTAGGAATTAAGGATCATGATTTCTAAAAGTAATTAATCAGAAAGCAGCTCTGAAGCAGAGGGCAGGTTTTACACTGAAGTGCCAAGCACAAGGCCCTGCTCTCGCTTTTGAGCACAGCTCTCCGGAGCACTGGCTTCCGGGAGCGCTTTTACCATACTGGGAACATCCACAGAAATGCAGCATTTCTCACCCCACTCCAACTCGCTGCTTTCACCCCACAAAACTGCCAATCCCAGTTAACACAAACGTGCTGCAATCCTGCAGCAGGGGACAGACCTTACCTGGAAGCTACAGCCCATATCGCATTACTGAAACAGTAGAATTTTCTACCTAGCATCACGTACGGAGACCGCTCCTGATAAATTTTATCTAGTATTATTTCTTAGTGTCTACAAGTAGTATGGAAAAATCCAGTAGGAATTGGCTTCAGAATTCTACCTAAAGTTAATTTACACATGAAATAGGTGACTGAAGTCCTCCCCAGGCCTGATTTAGCTCCATGTTGTTAAAATGCTACAATTACTATATGAAGCTGATTGCCAAATTTTCTATAAACTTCAGAAGAAGTGGGCATTTCATATAGTCTGAACAACCTTGTCCACATAAAAAATGAAAATTTCTATGTTTAATACTCTATAAATACAGTATTATAACCTTAGAAATTTCTAATTACAGCTTTAGGCCAAGTCACAATGAACAAGTATTTAATTTTTGATCTTTTATGAGCAAAGATGTTTTAATGTGTCACATTTAAAGATCACCAATCTTTCTTTACAATAAAAGAAAAGTCACTTCATCCATTTGAAGCTAGAGAGGTCCACAAGACTTTTTACAAATTAAAAGTGCCAGGCACCAACATGCACCAACCTTCAAACATAACATACTTTGCAATACGATTGAAAACATAGTATGTGTTAAACAATGTTTATAGAATTTAAGTACCTGGAGAAAACAAAACAAAAAAAACAACAATAAAAGCCCAAACTCTCTCCTTGGAGAGACAGAGACCAACTCCAAACATCCTCCTGGACAGCTGTGCAACATCAACAAATGATTTTCTGTACAAATAGTTAAAAAATAAGCAAAAAAAAATCACACAAGTTCTGGCATATCAAAACAATGAGTTGATAGAACATTCTTATGTGTCTGTACAGTAATTTCAGCTCCATATTATTTTATTACAAACAATTAGCATGACCTAAGCCCTATGCAGTGGTGCTCGGGATTCATGGCCTCATCCATGCAACATTCTGGCTCAAGAGATCAAACTCTAGATCTCATACTAAAGTCCAGAGGGGAGAATATGAACAAAAGCAGCAGTTTGCCCAGCTCTGAACCCTTCCTTTCACATGTAAATTGACTTACTCAAGTTTCAGCTACTAAGTAGTAGATTTATCAGAGACGCCAAATAACAAAGAGAGCAGTCAAAGCTACATCACCTCGGAAGACTAGTCATTGAAGAATGTGCTGAGTATCTTTGAAGGCAGAAGTTTCCACCTCCATTGCTATAAATAAAGAGGAATATTAAAATGAAATGATGAAATAAGTTTATCATGAATATCTGAGCTTTGTGATTCCATACAGAATATAGCAAAATATTTTATTTATGCAGTGATAAGAAAAACTTGAAAGAAACCAACTTACCACCTATCCCTTTTTCCCATCTTAAACAACAGTTTCATTTTTTTTTTAACCTACTGAGCTGCATATGGAGTCTATTCCATAACTATTCTCTGACTGTTAGAAAACAGGGAAGATTGTCACTAGATTGGTTATTAGCAGTTATCTGACCAGAGCATAACTGGTCTGCATGGAAGAAAGAAAGAAAAAAAAAAAAGGCAGCAAAAAAGCAGCTTATTAGGTAAGAAATCATTGCATCTTTTTTCCTATGTATAGTTATGAAATGGCGTTTTCCTCTCTCCCATTCAATGGGCAACAAGCCTAATTTAATTAAGAGGAATACATGTTTAAACATACATTAAATCACTTGCCTCCATCACCATAGGTTCACAACTAGAAATACAGTAATTCATTCTACTTCTTCTACATAGAAGTGTCTTGAAACAAGTCAATGACATCACTGAACAATAGTTTTGTTCCAGCAATATCTGATAATTGACTGATATTTATATAGGTTATTGTGTATAATTAGACTCAAATAATCATTTTTTTTCCTGAAAAACCCTAACACTAACGTAGCAGCACCAAAAAACAATGGTGTTGCAGGCTCAAATCTGTTTGATGCATATGTAACACCTATTCACAGTGACAAAAGGGCACGTAAGCTTCCAAAAATACCTTCCTACCAACCCCCATTCTGTCACATTCAGAGTTTCCTGACTTTTGCCAGCAAAATTATTTCTGTGTCTATGTACAAAATCTTCAAATATATTGAATGGACTCCCGTGGAGAAAAACACCATAAATTTACACATTTCCTACATTGATTCCTGATCCTCTGACAATTATACATATAAATCTGCTTTGGGTGAGTTACTTTGCTAAGAACTTTTTAAGTTTTTCCTGAATCTTCTGATCAAACTTAAAAGTCTTCTTGGTCCCTCAACCCAAAAACAATTTCCCATCCATTAAGCCAATGGATGTTGGAACAACAAAAGTGCAAAAGACTTAAAAAAGACTTCTAAAAACACGAGTTTCCGTAATGAAAAGATTTCCAAGTCTGGAGAGTGTAATCCTCCACGCCAGGAAGCTGCCTGCTGCCTTGGTAGCAGAGCTGCTCAGGCCAAAACCAGGGGCAAACCCAAAGTCTGGCAGAGGTGCCCAGACCCTACAGCAGGTGACCACAGAACCCAGCTAAAATCCTTAATCTAGACCTTGACCAATAAATCACAGAATTACCTTCATGTCAGAAATGGGACCAAATACAATCACAATTCAAGCACTCTTATCAGAAAGAACAGAGTAAGTGTATACTGACCATGTGAGTTAATTTGGATAACAGTGACTATCTTTACTGACTGCACTTTGCAGGCTAAACTATCTGGACAATTATTTTTTCTGCTTCCTATTTCTCCTGCATGTTCTTTTTCTTTTTTGCCCTACAGGTTACCTGAAAACTAAAAGCAACACAAGCAGCACATACATACAGGCTACATTTCAGGAATTCTTTACCTTCTGCCCACTAGAATGTGATTGGAATATTTGTCACACCTTGACATCTGCTTACAGACACACGTGACAAAATAATGCTTATGATCTACAGGTATCCTATCCAACAACTTTCTTCCTAGTCAGGACTATTAGTGAAGTGCACCCTAAGTGAACTATTTACAAGTGTAAACTAGGCAATTAATTTTAAAATAAATATACTTTTTTTTTTTTTTACATTATATAGCAACTTGACAAGGCAAGAGACCATCCAATTATATCTTTCATCAAAATGATTTGTGTACATTTCTGAAAGTGTTTTTGATGAAGCAAATCCTTGGCTCACTTATTCTATTTTGCAAGATCTTTCCTGCTTTTTTTCCTTTATGCTGGATAATTATGTAAAAACTCCTTAAGCTTTGTCGGATAGTCTGTCATCACTCCAGTGGCTCCCAGATCAAATGCCCTCTTGTATTCTTGCTCTTCATTCAGTACCCAAATATACACCTGTAAGATTGAAGAGAACAGAAAGACAAAATTACAAGAAAAAAACTCACATTAAAAATTAGATAAATTTTCACCTAAAATGTTTCATATGAGAGCAATGCCACATATAAAATGATTACACTGTTATGCCACAGACACACAAAGTCACAACTTTTCTCTTTACCCTTAGCTTTCTAAACATAACAATTTATTTGAAAAAGCACAAAAAAGCTTGCCAATAAAATATTAAAGAACCTCCTACCCCTAATAACTTCAAAAGGTAATTATGAAATGCAAGGGTAACGACTAATAAAGACATAAGGCTTCAAAGAAACATAATGCTCTACACAAAAGAGGTAGAAAACACCAACTCATCTTAAGGGCAGGTCCCTTTGGTTCAAGTTATCCCTAATTACCAACCTGATTTCCTTTTAGTTTTGCAATACTGTACCTGAATGCCCCTGGCAGTGAGGTGGTCAAAAAGTGCCTTGCGCATTAGCAATCTGTGGAAAGAAGACAGATATTATTTGTCCCAAAACTTAAAGTGCACATAAAGTTTTCAGTGCCTGTGGATGTTCTGTAAAAGATCCTCCACAGAAACAACCCCATGAAATGAGAAAGCCACATTCTGAATCTACTTACACATTGATTAACTGAATGACAAAATAAACTAATTCAGCATTATTTTAAGTCATAAATAGGACTATTGCCCACTGCTGCACCTCAGTATGTTTCAGTGTATATAAAAAAAATACATGCATGCAGGAGCATCTACAGAATATGTAAACATGCTGCAGTGACAAAGAAATTGAAGAAACTGAAAGAAACTGCAGTGTAACAAGTAGTCATAGGAGTAACAATCTTAGTTGCTTGGGCCAACTACCAATATATTAGCCAAATAAAATAATGGCATGAAAGTCTTACGTGTCAGCTAGCCAGATAATAAATTTCTGACTTTTCGTCATCTTTTGTGGTTCTTTCAGCCTATCAAGGAAGAAAAAAACCCACAGATTAAAATAGTTTCACATGTTCTTGCAACTTCACAAATCAGAGAGCAATATTTTCCCTTTGTCTTCAAGACAGTGACACCTGCCCTAATACTAACTCGCCTCTTAGCCTTATTCAGATGAATTAGGCCTCAATATATACATCTAAAAGAGGGGGAAGTGTGGAAACTAGTTTTTTGTACAGCACTGAAGCAGCTAGCACTGCTACATATCACAACGAGCGCAAGTGCCACTGTCAGGGCAGTTGTGCTTTACTCCATGAAAGACCCTACAAACCAAAAACAAATTGATATGTACAGCAGCCCATAAGAACTGTATAATTCAAAGCTACCTAAGACAGGCTAAATACAGAGCAGACGTTTTGTATAGCTTTCACTTGAGAGTATAAAACAGTAACAATTATTAATGTTTTGAGATAAACACTTGAAACATAATAGTTTTTTCTACCTAAAATCACTACAACTCAACTCAGCATTCACTTTCTCTTGGTAATGTGTAACTTCACCATGTGCTCAGCTTGAGGATACAGACTAAATCAATGCTTAAGCTGGCATTAGCATTCACTTGTATTTCTATCATTTTACTGCAACACCCACCAGAGAGATAACTCACTTGAGGATGATTGAAGGCATTGGAATTTCCAAGAATTCTTCCTTGAAAGGAAAAAAAGGCAGCAGACCAGTGTAGAACAGGCCAACAAGGAGGAGGACACGTTGCAAACAGAAGATGATGGGAATGTCAGCATTCTGTGGAAAACAGTAGAAAAGGATTCTAACTTATTTGGGTAGACTGTTGAGTCGCTGTAAATAAATTTACTCATTAATACATCTTTAAAACACAGCACTTGTACCTAAAGAATAAGCTGCCAACTGCTTGTGTCTGCCAATGAATTTAAATTAATCTTCCCAGCAACTTGTAACCCAAGCAAAGGCTTTACATAATTCAAGAGGGCAATGCATTTTTAATTTAATGCCAAATTGTACAATTCCTCGGCACAAAAAGGTAAAGCTTTATACCAATATAAGTGTGACAGCTAACAGTCACATCCATTATTTTAATAAAAAAAATACACAATAAGTAATCTGTATGAAAATTGCTTTTGCACCAGATGAATGTGTGATGTGCAGAACAGACTGTGTTTTTATGTCAGAAATTCCTAAGGCCCTATACATTATAGTAATACAAAGCAAGATTTCTCTTTAAATATTCTCTTGCAGAGTACCTGAGCATTAATGATGCCTGACTTTCCTTATTGATGGAGTAAGCAAAATACAACTGAAGTATAGAGCTTCAAATCACAGCTAAAAATCTAGCAGAGCTAGCTATGCTCACTGGCACACCTCATCTTCATTTGTGGGTTACTCTCTGTACATGTCATCACAGTGAAACAAAGGTCCAGAAAAACAAAACCTGAAGCCATCCTTACCTCCTTGTGACACTTTGATACCACCTCGTAATTGGCATTCCCCCAAACAGTCAAGTGTTCTCGCTTATACTGACTCACCAGCTCTGAAACCTGCAATATAAAAGCAAAAATGTAGAACCCTAAAAATGCATTCACCAAGTATCATTCTGTGCAGATTTAATCAAAACTCCATTTGTTATTTTTCAACTATGCAAGTCATTACAGAAAATATGATTTTTCTATACTCCCTCCCACCTTAAGACAATCGCATTACTTTGAATGGGAGGAAACAGGCATTTGGTACAACAGAAAAGGAAAAGAAAAACTACCTACAAGAAAAACTAGAGATTTTTAAAAAGGAAAATGGCAATACAGTACCTGATGGAAAGCAGATTTCATATTCTGTGGTAAGCTCTTATCTTTATACCAGTATCATCCATTCATGATCCATTTGTAAACAACAGCCTACATATTAAGTCTTAATATTAAACATAAAACAATGTGGCATCCCTCATCTGTTTCATACTGAGATAGGGAATCAATAAAGAGCTATTTGCAGAGCAGCCTGTAATAGCTCCGTGCTCCACATGACCGTACCCACGGAGCAAGATCTAACAGGTGGAGGAGGAAAGAGTCCAAGGACACAAGTTTCAGTGTCTCAGACTGCCAACAACTCAGGGACGTCCCTACTTTGGGAATTTGAACACTTCTGCATGACACTCAGTCTCAGTTCAGTGTAGTTTATCACCTACCTTTTTGATCAACACATTGTTATTCATTTTGATGTCAATGTTGACAGGGGTTTGTGGAAAAGCCTCAAACACCTCTTTCAGGAGGGGAATGCGGTTATCTTTACCCTCGCAGTGACATTCTGAGGAAACAAAGTAATCACTGCTGCGACCATTACTAATATACTGTAGAGAAAAGCTAAGATATTAGAGCACTTTATTAAAGTGTTAAAAAAGAAAAAAAGCTATTATTAGCAAATTTTTGAACAGGAAAGAATTTACTACCCTTGTATGGTTATATTCAACTGTGACAAGCTCACCTCAGTAATGAAAACTGATGCAATTCAGTCATTATTTAGCAACAACAGCCATCAATAATATCCTGAACTGGCAAATGGACTTGCTTACCACGTAGAAAATAGTGACATATATACGAAATGAGACCAACTGATAAAACAAATTTCCTTCTAGGAAAATATACTGGAGAAATGTAATGAGCAAGGGCATGTCAAGTTTTAGTGTTTAGTGTCAAGAAACAGGTAATCAAAGCAACTTAAAAACTTTTTTTTCTCTTAAAACTTCTCTTATCAAGATACTGATAGAAGTCCTTACTTTTCTGTTCCCTTTAACAAAGCAAGAAATTGCCACACTACAATTCTGGAAAAGTTGTTACTGTAAACTGAAATAGAAGTCAAAAACTTACCTTTCTGAAACGTGACATCCAGTTTGCAGAGATACGGAGGAAGTTCCTTAAAAATAAAGGAAAAAGGGATACTAATTCAAAAGCAGTGACTAATTATGAGTTTCCTTGAAACAAGAAAAATAATTCATAAGCCATATAAGTTATATTTAAAGACACAAATTATGCTTTGTATATGTTTCTAGGCTTCTTGCCTAAGAAGTGATTTTGTCAGTTTTGATTTTGACACTGTTCCCTTTTGCTTGAACAGTTTTGCATTCTTATTTAGCTGAAGGGAACACAGGTCTAAGAACAAGAATGTTTTCAGATGCCCATCTGAAAGATATGGATAAGTCTACTAAAATATCAGGCGGAAAGTAGTCACTGGAAGTGCGAATTAATCTACCAATTTTATCCATTCAGAAGAACAAGCTGTTTGACTCAATCTCTCTCATCAGTCTGGCAAAACAGGCACACCTCCAGAAGGCCATTCATCCAAGTTGCTCTGGGACAGAGCTAATCATCCTCTGGAAGCATGCCCACTTTTCTCCCTTGAACACACAGGGAGCCTAGATAACTTTGTCAAACAAGATAAATATTCTTGGATTTTGGATATTACGTATATGCTCACATTCGTGCACACAGCCACCCTCCAGCCATTCTACAAACACATTTTTACCCATTACCTAGTGATGTTTTTCTCTTCAACTTACAGAGTATTTGAGGTCCGATATATTGACATCGACTCCTGTTGATCTCTTCAGGTTCTCATCATGGGACACAACCACTTGCTCATCTTTTGTCAGGTGACAATCCAGCTCCAACATATCTGTTCCTATATTAACCGCACTGGAAGCAAAGAAGTTTGCCTTGAACCAAACATACCATTTGCACAGGTCCAAACCTAATTCATATATGTTATTTAAACAAACTAATCCCAGGGAAGGCACTTAAGATGGTTTATGATGCAAGGGATCCTCACAACCTTGTTTTAAAACAGGAAACAAATAAGGTCTATTGCAGTGAAAAGATGATGCAAGAATAAACAAGATACTATGAATCAGAGATGGGATTTGAACTCTGGAGCTTTGGCTCTGCCTTCTACAGAAATCAAGTTGTGCTTCCGCCTATGCAGTCTACTCTTACTACTGAGAGACTTCTAAAGTATCATTTCAGAGTTACTGCAGCGTGATGCTTACTAGTATCAGCACATTCACAAGAAGAAACATGCTCTTTAAATAGCTAATCAATTCTGGGGTAGGCATAAACAAAAAAAAATGACAAGTATGTGAAAGACTTTAAATCTTTAAATGCAACTTAAATTAGCAGGCTTAGGAAAGTAGCAATGGGACGTCCAGCCTTTGGGCTTTTTTTTTTTTTTTTTTTGGAGGGGGACCTAACTACAATGAAAAAAGATTGTAATTTTAAAATGTGCAATCATTTTCAAAAGCAATGCATCAGAATTTGCTATAAACATCCCCATCCATTGTTTTGAAAAGTTCCAGTCCAGGACCAAATGTACTCTACAAAATAGGCTTACTTAGAAGAAGGAGTAAACAAAGGAAAGTAGAAAGTAGGGATAACACTGGTGAAAAAGAAGTGCTAGAAACTCTGTCCCCATCCTCCAAGAAAAAACAGTCTTCCAGCAGCAGTGCAAGATTGAACAGCAAACACAAGATTGAACTCCCATTATAACACCCTTTCTACCCACCTAAGAACAAATCTTTGATGTCTGCCAGCACAGTCTTTACCTTACCCAAACTCAGCGACTTCACCTTGCATTGCTAACAAATTTGACATTTTGCCAAGCTGTTTCTAGCAGCTGCTGCTAAGAGGCTTCCGTAAAGATATAGAATCAATACTGATATAGAAAAGTAAGAAAACATTAAAAAAAAAGGGGGGGGCGGGGGAGCACTATCAGGAAAATGCAGTAGCAGAGTTGAAAAACAGCAGGCTAGTAGGAGCAGAGCACAGAAAGCTCTGCTAAGCTTCCATGGAGATAGAAACCAGCACAGCACTTTCAATAGCCCTGGTTGCAGAAGTTGGCACCGCACTCTGCAAGGAAACACACAGGCTGCTGAGACTATGGAGCACAAAAAATAAGTTTTAAAAAAAAATAAGCTGCCCACACAGCTTGGCCACTGCTCTTTGGTAATTGGAGTTCTTGATATCCTCCTTTTTGGACTACTTCTGAGAACATTGTTATAATTCACTGCTTCTTAAAGGCTGGAGGTTTTGAAAAGCTTTCTAACTCAATTTTAAACCCTCAGGTTGGAGGTTTTCACACACAGTACCAGTGAAATATATGTAGGAGGGGAAAAAAAAGCACAGCACAAGCACTTCTGTTACCTTTATAAATGGTGCATTAGAAGTTTTTTAACATTAAAATTTCAGCCACAATATTCCTACAAGACAAATTATCTCCTTCCATGTCCATGAGGGAACTGAACACTATGACACTCTGGAATACCTGAGAATCACTTACAGCCATGACAGCACTGTACATTCATTAGTATATTGATATAAACTACAACTTAGTAATATCATTGTATCCAGAAAGGTAGCATATAACATTATTTCTGTGTAAGTATTTTTATAATTAGTGATAAACTAATGGATTTTGTTTCAATGTTTTGTTTCAGTTTTGAAGCAAACTGAATTGAGAGAAAAGCACAAGAAAACAAGCCTAAAGAAAGGAATTCAATTTAAAAGGCCTGTCCTAGTTTGCTGCTTTTAATTTCAAAACTCAAGAGCAAAGGAAGGGATTTGATATTTATTTTTGCACCTTCTTTGAATTACCACGTAATTACTAGGCAAGTTGACATCCTGCTCTATTAGACTGTCTTTCCTCAGCTGTAGGATCCTCCAGTCCTCTTCGGTGCAGCCTCCAAACTTGCTCAGCGTGGTGATCCACCCTATGGCCCAAGTGACTAACCTGTGTGCCAGTGATCCACTCCCCAGAATCAAAAAGGTCAAGGTTAGGCCTCACGTTTAAGGTGATCATCCCTGACCCAAGGGGAAAAGGAATCTGCATTAAATATGGAAGTAATATCGTTACAGGTTTTATTAGTTAAAGCAGGAGGAATAAGGACTCGGGAGACTTACTTCCAAATGCAAGTTTACTACATTACTGTGTACAACCCAAAGCTTTTGGTGCCCCAGCTTCTTCATTTTTAAGTTGTAGTAATATTCAGCAATCTGTAGAAGTTACTCAAAGGAAACAAGATGTTTACAAACAGCATTTGTGGCCTAAAAACAACCGTTGGAAGACTCATCTTTTGATGATTGCTCCAGTCATTAAAAACAACAAAAACACCCTTCTAGACATTATTGGTTCCTATGGTACTCACTGGTGAAAGGCTGCCATGGTGTTTTCCAGGTTCTCTCCAGCACCTGCAAGAAAAAAAAAACATGCACAAAATCCTTATCTTCACCTCAATCCCAGTGGAAATAAATTTAAAATTAATGGATTAAAAGTGTATATGTTTGGGAGAAGTATCTGGACAAATGAGAATGAGGCTAAAGTTATAATTCTTAGAGTAGCAGCTAACTGACTGGGGAAACTCAAGCGATGTGACTTTCTCAAGGTAATCTTATCTAAACAAAATACAGCTTATCTTGGGTTTCTGTCACACTTTGAATATACAAATCAGAGATCAGGTGCCATGGTGTTGCTTAAAGGCTTTTTCTTTGGCTATGACAATATTCTCCATGAGAACAATATATATATGAGATCTATTTCAGCTGTAGCGAGAGGAATAATGAGAGAAAAGATGACAAGGAGGGAAAAAAGAAGAAAGACTCTCTGAAGCTGCTATTCCCTAAATGCATAACCCAGTTGATTCTCGAAGAGGTGAAGACCTCTTTTTTCAGTGCAAAGACACTTCCTGAAACAGCCTAAGTCAGACAATAATGGCTTTTCTGCTGGCAAAGACAGACTTCATATACATGGAAAGAAACGGACATGAACTCCACAAAGAAAGACAAATGAGTTTAATTTTCTCCCAGACTGCAAAGGTGAAACCTGCACCTCTTAGGCCACTCTTTACATATGATAATGTGGTTAGGGGGCTAGAAAAGGATGGACTCCCTCCCCCCCAAAAATATGCAATATTAGGCACTGAAAAGACATCTATGCAAGTTTTAGCTGCTCCATGACAGTGACAAATGACAGACCTTGTAAACAACATAATTATAGAGGTTCTAGCAAGGCCTTGCCTATTAACGAAACCTACCAATACATATTTATCTAAGTCTGCAATTAAAGCAACAAAACTTCAAGCATGAGCAACACATAGATTTGTTGTTATCAGGTTAGATTGATAAGTTTACATAGCAATGCTCAACTAACTTGAAATCAGAGACAAAACCTGCAGGGTTTAACATAGATCAACATGGTTAACCTGCAGTAACTTCTGTGATCAGCCACCAATATTGCAGGGAACTTGATAGCAGAATTAGCAGCTTTGAGAGGCTGAGTGACGAACGTGACCTAGGTCTAGAGAAGAGCCTGAGAATCTGTGTGTGCCACCAGAGATTACCCAGCCAGGGGGAAAAAAGAGTACACAGGACCTGGGTGATGGGTCATAAGATAGCCAGAATTTCCGTTTTTATTGCACTTAATTTATCAACTGTGGTAATACAGTCCATGCAACCTCAACTGTAACAGGGGGAAAACAAAGAGTCAATCTTTAATTTGTGAACAAAACAATATCCTAATATTTCTGGAAAAAAAAGAACAGAAAATAAAGCTTTAAATGACTGGTGTAGCAAGCTACATGCCATCGAGGTAGGTATGGTGAGCCAAACCATTTGGTAACAAAAAGGCCTCACTTCTGCATTTGGGAAACGGGGAAAAAAAAAAAAAAAAAGACACAAGCTGAAATGGGAGTTCTAGATCAGCAACATGGTTTTCACAAACCCTATTCAGAAAAGGGAACTACAACAAGCAAGTTAAGGGATATACTGAATCATTTTCTTTCTTAAGAGAAAAGGTCTAGTTTTGTTGAAGGCCTTTTGACATTTGTTTACTCAGATGCCTCTCAAAATCACAGAATATCTACTGGCTTTGTGAACTGTGTACTTTTCTGAAGTCCTCAAGATAAAAATGACCTTGCTCAGCACGTGTTAGCCCACTGTGGGCCAAAGGAGCCATATCTACACATCAAAGTTGCATACTGTAATTGTGAAAGAACTACCATGGAACAAAAGGAGCCAAAGTCAAGCACTGACTCAAGGAAAAGGCCCCAAGACTTTGGAATTTTTTCCCCTGTATGAGCAAAGGCAGCCAACAGCATCCCAGGCTACATTAGGAAGAGCATTGCCAGCAGGAGCAGGTCACGAGAGGCAACTCGGCACTAGTGGGATAGTGTCTGGAGTGTTGGGTCCCGTTCAGGGTTCCCCAGATGGGAGAGACGTGGACTTAACGGAGCAGGTCCAACGGAGGCTGCGACGATTAAGGGATTAGAGCATCTGACATACAAGAAAAGGCTGAGCTGGGATTATTTATTCTGAAGGGAAGACTCATGGAGGACCTTTGCAAAGTGTAGAAATACCTGATGAGAGGGCAAAGAAGACAAAGACAGACTCTTCTCACTGGCCCCTAATGAAAGGGCATGAGACAATAGACAAAATTGAAATAAAATTTGGGTAAGACATTAAAAAAGAAAATACTGTGTGAGTGATCAATGCGACCCTCTCTCAAAAGACTCTGCAATCCAGCCCACACAGCTGGCACAGAGGATTCTAACTGACAATAAAGATTTAATTATTGATCTCAGAAGTGACAAATTCTTAATTTTAAAACAATGCAGAAGTGAAACACTAATTCAGAAATGGTTCCACATAAGGCCTATAAGTTGAGAGAAGAAAATTCTGGCATTAGAAACGAAGCAAACCCAAAATCCACAGACTAAGGAGACTTTCCATGCAAGGCTTCTTCTTAGAGAAGAAAAAGCCAAACAAGTGTTACCTTGATCTCTGAAGCCGATAGGAGCAATGCAATAGGAAACCTGACACTGCATGGAAAGCTCCAGCAGGGCTTAAGCCTGAGAACCTGAGTCCCACAGGAATTACAGTTACAAAGTAAACACTACAGGGAGTAAAATGTAAGTGATCTTCAATCTCATAGTACCTGATGAGCAAAACGCTACTGAGATGTTATTTAAGGGTTGTACCCTCTTCATGGCATAGATACAAACAAAGACCAATTCAAGGACTGTGGACTTTGTCTTGCAATGCCTAATGAATAATCATCCCATTCAGCATAGCTTTTTTTGTTGTTGTTTTAATAGTACTTAGTGTAAATAGCCTAAAAGCTCCCGTTCTAGGCTTAGGGTTAGTTATCTTAACTAATGCCTACACAAAAAAAAAAAGTGAGAACAAACAAAGATTAAAAGTTCATACCAGATTCTGACAAAATCATCGGCATGTTTGTAAGAGTTTGTAAACTAAAATATCAACCAGGAAACTGCTATTACACACATTCCCAATCAAAAGGTGCATTTTGTACTAAAGGCTATATATTCTAAAGAAACTTAATAGTTTTATAAATTATCAAAAATGTTAAATACATGTGGATCCAGCATATCTTCAGCCTTTTTGGCAAGACATTTATTGGAAGAGTGACTAACAGTAATCTCGTAAATTGAGCAGGGCAGCAGTTTCGGAAAAGGGAAGAGTTGGCCTTCCCCTGCACAACATAGGAAATGTAGGATTTGCCACAGTGTTTCCTACTAACACTTTAGAAAAGGTAGAAGAAATTTTAAAATTATCTTTCTGTGGTGCAAAGCAACCAGACTACCCATAAGACCTTCAAGCAAGTACATGGAGGGGATGAGATCCAAATAATTGGCATCAGATGTACCTTGGTATTGAACCATTAATTGTTTTCCATGGTAAAAGGAGAAAAAATAAAGTCACAGCAAACTTTATATTTTTCTGAATCTAAAAAGCAAAGCATTGAGAAATACCAGACACGTTGAGTATCACTTCTGAGAAACCTGGCTAGTTTAAGGCTTTCCTTGCAAGCAGAACCAAAGACCAGGTGCTTATTTACAGCTCATCCCACATTGCTCCATGCCTTATCTTTTGCTATGGAACTTTTGAACCTGAGCCAGCCTCCTGCTGAGCTCCAGACCATTTTTTTTCCCCCTGTATCTTTTTTCATTCCACACACAAATGTGTTAGGAACCTCGCACCTCAGGAGAGCACAGGGTCAAGTCTGGCCCTCCCCAAGCAACATCATCCAGGTGGAGACGCGCGTTCAGGAGCATCCCAGGAGGATGGCTGTGTTCCCCTCATGGCTCTCGCTTCTCTGCTGCCTGGAAAGCGAAGGGCAGGACCAGAGCAGAGTGACCGGGTACCTGGAGCACACGGTGAATCAGTCGGAGACAAGGAGGTTGATCTTTGGACCTGCTCTCTACAACAGTCAGCCTTTCTCTTATTAGGAAGAAAGGGCTAATTAGCTACATAGTCATCAGGAAGAGACATACAGAATTATCTGTTTGGAAGCCATCAGCATGCGAATCCCTGGGAGAAGCGGCTGATTTCAGCAGAGTCCGACGACTTAGCTTTGAAATCAAGCACTGGTCA